ATTTGATAATCTTCAAAGTTCATCAAAACAAATTGAAGAACAATTACATACACATATTAATAGAAATCAAACATTAGAAAAAACACTTGAACATCAACGAATAGTTAATAATGAATTACAACAAGAAAATACACGTTTATCAACATTAAATGCAAAACAATTACAAGATTTAAAACATGTTGAACAATTACGTCAATCAATATTAACATTTGAAAAAAAACTCGATCAAAAACAAACACGTGTTAATGAATTATCATTGAAAGTTATTGAAAAAGAAGATATTATTGAAACAAAAGTTAAAGAATGTCAAAAACATCGATTAGAATTACGTGAATTAGAATCAAAATATCATACATTAGGAAAACAATTAGAAGAAGAAATTATAGCAATGACAAGAGAAATTGAAAAACTTAATGTAGAAAAAGAAATGCTTAGATTTGATTTGGAATCTTTACGATCAAATCAACAACATGTATGTTCTATCTTTGTAGTCTTGAGAGTGTAGGTGCGGGAGGATGTGGGTGATTGTGAGTGGGTGTGGGTGAATGAGTGTGAGTAGATGTGGGTTTGGATAAATCCTTTCTTTATTCAAGCCCACACCCAATAGGGACCTGCGGGGTCAACTTTTTTGACTCCGATTCCGGCTCCTTTGGAGTCATAATCGGGGTTTGAGGTACTTCGCAGCTCCCTATCACCCACTCCCACACCTACACCCTCAGGTTATAGCAAAATATATTCCTTACATTTGATTATTTATCTATAGGATCGTTCCGTACCATTAAAATCAACAATTGAAGACGAAATTACTCGTGTTAAATCTGAATGTCGTCAACAAATAATCGATAGTGAAATTGAATCTTATAAACTTCGTTTAAATCAATTGACTAATGAAAAAGATGATTATTTAAAAATAATAAAAGAACTTGAAAAGAAACTTAAAGAATTACAAAATAAATATGATGCTGATGAACAGTCATGGACACGACATAAAACTGATATATCTGATAAACAACGCAAAGTAAAATTTTCATATATATATATATATCTTTTTTTTAATTTTTATTATTCTAATTTCAAGTATGATGAAAGTATCAAAATGAAAACTGAATTACAAAATGCTGTTGATCGTCTTCGTCAGAAATTATATGATCTTGAAGTTCATTCACAAGAAAAACAAAATAAATATACTATTGATAAACAACAATGGGAAATTCAACGAGTTGAATTAACTGGAAAAATTAATGAAGTAAATAGAAATGAAATTGATATTTATACACGAAAAAAATCTTTTGTTTTTTTTAGTTGGAAGAACAATTATCTAAAGTAACAAAACGTCAACGTAAAGATCTTGAAACTGTTTGGAAAAAAGAACGAAATGATTTACAAAAACAACTACAAATATCTCAACAAACATTAAAAGATATGCAAAAACAAATAGCTAATAGAGAATCTCCTAGTCATTTAACTGAAAAAATAAATGTATTAATGACAGAAAATGAATTATTATTAAATAAAATTCGTGAACTTGAAAATATTGTTGACGATGTTCAATTACTTAAAACAGAAATGCAACGTTTACGTGATAAAAATTCTTCCGATTGGAATTATTGGCGAAAACAACAAAGTGATTTATATGCACAATTACGTCATCATCAATTTACTAAAGAGTCGATATTAAATAAATTTGATAAATTACAAAAACAGGTAGATTAACTATTAGACTAAACAAATCAACATAAATATAGGCGAATTAATTTAACCTTGTTTAAATTGAATATAGTCTATCCTTGATATTAGATTTTATTATAGGTAGAGAGAAAAAGAGTCTATCATAGATAATCGATATCTGCTTTATGTAACTAGAGTTTATCATTAAGAAAATGAAAATAGAAGCTTAGACATATGTAGGATAGATCATGTAACTGAAAATATTAATTTTACTAAGTATAGAGAGATATACATGAAACCCAAACGGCTTGGGTTTGGTACATGTCTGGGTATAGGTCAATTGTTATCGATTAGTTTCTGTATCTGTCTATCATTATTAGGTCTGTTTGTTAATTGTAATAATCCTATCTATGCAAAAAATACTATCAAGATTAAGTTCTATCACGTATATCTATTTGTTGAATATAAAATTATTTTTTTTCTTTAAATATTATAGATCAAATTTGGCGATGATAATGAACGTCATATTCGTGATATTAGTGTTGGCCCAATATCTCTGAATAGTTTTCATAATGAAATAACGACTAAAACAAGTTTATCCACATTCAGTCGTGAAACATTATGTGATGATATTGATCTTCCACATGGAACTATTGATGGACAAATAGTTAATACAAATGAAATTGCTGGTACTATTGATGATACAGGAGTATTAACAAAATCAATTCATGATAATTATAAACAAGAATTATTTAAGAAAACGTATTCTGCTCAAGAAAATACCGCTGCAAGCCTTGAAGAAGTATTTAATTATAGAATTATGTAAATAATATATATATGATACGTTTTTTTTTATAGATTGCAATGAAAATTGATCGTGTCGAAGATAATCTATTTTCTTATCGACGTTTTATGGATTTTATTCGAGCGTAAGTTTTAATTCAATTTAATAAAATCGACTAGTTTTATTTTTGTAGTAAATCGGAAAAAAGTGCATCCGTCGTACGTGATGATAGTTTTACGAATATTGTTAATCACACATCAAATACAACGAATAATAAACGATTAGCATCTGCTCCACCAGAAAATGCTAATCAAATATCACAACGTCGTTCTCGTTTTGATGATAATGCAAATACTAGTCATGAACATATTCCATCATCATCATCTAACGAGTATACATCAGTCAATTCCGTGATATCACCAACGACAAGTTCAAAAAATCGATTCTTTTCTTTAAGTCGTCGTTTTCGTTTTCGTACACAATCACCAGAGAAATCTCCAGCAACATCAGCTACTGTTCATTTTCTTGATCAAGATATTGATTTAGAAACAAAAGAACCAACAGTAAGAAAATCAGATAGACCATCAAAAGGAATATTGAAAACATTAAGACATCGATCACCATTCCGTTTTCGTTCGAAAGAGACTGTTATTATCGAACAAGATTCATCATCACCACCGCCACCATCTCCTCCTCCGCCACCGCCTCCACCTCCACCTCAATCAAAACCACCAGAAACAAAAGAAAATAAAGCAAAACTACCACCACCAGTTGCATCTAAACAGCGTGGTCGATTAGTTGAATTAAAAAAGACAACACCCAAAACATCAACAACAAATGGTACACCGAAAAAACTTGTGAATGTAACACCAATTGTTGATCCATCAAGTTCAACATTAGTACGACGTGCATCAGGATTAAAAGATCTCATACATAGATTTGAAGCAACACCATCAAAATCAAAACGAGCTACAACTGATAATCCGTCCTCAACAGAAACAAATCAAGATGATCAATCTTTAACTCATGATACTTCAAATGATGAACAACAACAGCAACAAACTTCAGCTAATAAATCAAAAACAATTGATATTCCTGATCTATTACAAAATGTTGAAAAAGAACCAATATCAACATCAACAAAACCAATTCTAAGACATTCAAATTCATGTAAACAAACAACATCATTTGATTCAATAGCAAGTATGGTTAGTGCAAGTGACTCTATAACTACAACGGGTAGTGCACGAAAACCTACATCAACAGCACGTCCTTTAATGCTTTCTGTTGTAAGTTAAATAAAAATTATAAACTTTTTTTCTTTTAAAATTAGTTTTTCTTTTTAGAATAAAGAAGAGTCAACGTAACAATGATTGTTTTTAATATTTATTAATTTTTTTTTCTATATTGTTTTTTTCTCTCGTTTTCTTTGTATCGGTTTTGAATATGTCATTTGTAAAAATTGATTTTGTGTTTGTTTTCTCTCATATATGATCAGAATTGTATGACAACTTGATAACAAAAAAAACGAATAAGAATCTTTTGACAAATAAAAAATATATACATTTGTATCAATCTTTATAATTTCGTTTATGAATTATGTATCGAAAAGAAAGATTTCTAAGGAATCACATTGTTATAGATCGAAAAGGCGCACGAATATCGGAACTCAGAAAAGATGGATATTAAGAAAATAAAGTGATAATGATGATAGAAACCTGGAGATAAAAAGGTTTTTTTACAGACACAGTTGTAGCTGCTAATTGTTACTTACTTGAGATAGACTAACTTCACATGACAAACTCACATCATTTCATCAAAATGTCTGAGATACCGGGGGACCTACCCTTGAGTATGAAAGACGTGGGCTGTATGTAAGCGTTAAGATGAAGAAAATAATATCTACACGCACTCATACTCTCGAGATATGATGTTGGACTTTTATATTTTCAGCTGTTTTCAAGATTATGATATTTTAAAGTACTGTAAGCTATTTTTTATGTTGATATGAGTAATCATATACCGCAAGGATTCAAAACATTCTTTTGCTTTCGTAAACGTAATCTCATCGTCTAGAGATTAATGTAGTTGTAACAGTAGTAATGTGTTGAAAAATGATAACTATTTAAACGTTAAAGATCACACATTTTTAGGTTTATAACACAAATTTAAGGCGATAATTGATTGCTTTTGTCAATCACAAAATTAGTGTTGAAATAACTGTCGTTATCTTTATGATGAACTTTGTGACGATGAAGTTCGAGTAACAAAATATGTCCGAAGAATTCTAGTATGTGGTTACCGACGCATGATTTATTATAACTTGCATAAAATAAATTTAAAGTTTATCTACAATGAATAAATACTCAACACGAATGTGTAGCTATAAGATATAAACGAAAGAAATAATATCTGTAAATGACAGTATATTTAAAAACAAAGCTAGATTCATTTTTCTTTGTGTGTTTATTTATATGTTAATTAAACAGTGTTTCTACAATTAGGCGCTGAAATATATAGTAAGTTTGTCAGTTTTAGTACATAGAAGTTAGTGTTTCACATTTAATTCTCGATCTGCGTCGGACATTCCAATCCATGGTTCATGTGATTTATAATAGTTCCATGGTTTGTCTACATTTAAATTATCAACTGATTTAATAGCAGTTTTCAAGTAGAATCCATTTTTTGATCCATACTTTGCTTCGGCATCCTTTAATGTACGAATAACCTTAACACAATGAACTTCTGTTGCTAGTTTCGTATGTAATGTTCGATCAACGACATATTCCCAATTACGTTTATCTTCTTCGATCTGATAATCATTGATTAAATGTTCATTAATTTTTGGTTGACGTTGACTGATATACATAACCAGAGATAAATAGAAGAAACAACAGAGAAGTCTTTTGACCGTGTTTTCATCTAAATATGGTTGAATTGTTCGAATGGCATTCATTCCCGTTAGGAGATGCAAGAGACCGAAGTCAAAATCGATTTGGTCAGGTTTATGTGTAGCACCATAGATATAGACACTCATGTCAAATAACTCTTCGATTGCCTTGTCAAGATCTGCCGGCATTTGCCATTCGTTATAGTATGCGAGAAGAAGAGATTCATTCTTTAATACACTATCAAATTGGGCTGGTTCATCTAAGGTTGGTGCATAATCTTCTGAACGTATCTCCTTCATAACTTGAAGAGCACCTTTTATTCCGTTTGCTGGAGGCTCTAATTTGGCAGGCGGTTTATATAAACTATCAACACATACGGCTGTCATAGTTAAGGCTTCACATGCTACCGGTCGACTGTTTAAGTCTATAGCGTAACTTATATGAATAATCGGATGAAGCAAACCACTAAGTGATGCATCAATGAGTGGTAGTCCATCTTTATCGTCAAGAAGCAATTTGAAGAATTCACCTTTCCAATCACCCTGCGTCGGTAGTTTTTTATTAAAGAAATCTCGATAAGCCATACAGAATCGTCGATCACTAAGAGAGTTACGCCAATTTTCATCAGTAATTTCGTGTGGTGATGGTTCATACTTTTCGGCGTAATTGCGCATAGTGTTTGTATAAATATCCATGAGTTGCTGATCACTGGCACCTAGTGATGCTAATGCACCGAGATGATGAGCACTATGCGAATGAAATTGGAGGTTGTTCCACAGAACTTGATTCTGTTCAAAATCAGTCTTCAGTAATGAATCGAGTGTGGTGTTTGTCATGATAGCGACGTTATAATAATAAAATATAAATATTTACTCGTTTGCCTAAATAATATATACCTTCATAGCTTTTTCATACAGTCACGATACAAATACTCGTTAGTTGTAATATGAAGATACAACATAATCCAATGCATTGATAGCTATACAGTTATTGAACAGATTCACTCAAAGAACGTTGGTTGTATATAAATAGATACTTCTATTCAACTCGTTTTTGCGTTCTTTACAATAAGAGGATTGTACTCCAAATACATGTAAGACGAAAAATGAAAGAATGATATTAAGTAAACGAGCCAATGGTTAGATAACAGATATATAGGCAGAAACAGAACAGAGATAAATATACATGTGACCATACCTATCTCATTATTACGTTCTACTAGGATACCAAAGAATACGTAAAAAAGAACAGCAAAAAATAATAAAGCGACTAAAATAAATCCTATTGATATGTATATTGGTTAATTATTAGAGAGTATAGGCATATATATATATCAATTAAAGACAACATCCACACCCTCATTTTATAAAAGCATGAGTGTGGATGTGCGTGTGAGTAGTGCATTTCTAATCAGTCCCACTCACACCCACACCCTCACAAACATAATGCGTTGTCTAATTTCAGCACGGCAATAACCTAATATTGTAGTGATCGATATTTTCTTCTTCTAAAACGATCCGAATGAATTTGTTATTGAAAATGAATCTAAATGAAAAATAATCGATCTTGTATATAACATAAAATCATATTAATTACACGCAACTTCGATAATACGTTTTAACTTTATTATGAAATTCAAGAATATATAAAAAGAATAAAAATTAGTCTTGTAAATTGCGAGTGTGCCATTGTTATTTTAAACAGGCATTGTTGGTTGATTTGCTGGTGGTGTTTGCGCAGCTATAGGTACAGCAACACGATAGAATGTACATGCCAAAAAACAATGAAGAAGAGTAAAAATAGTTGCAGCTAGATATATTGGCATTAACCAATAATAAAATCTAATTAGTAATAATATTATTTTCATTAATAATATGCCAATACAACAGCAGATAATACATATTATAGGTTTATTCATTAAGGGACTCATTTCCATTACCTCTAACGATATTTTCATCATACAACCACATAAAAACATGCAAAGTCCAACATAGAAAATTATGTTCGTATCGGATATCGTTTGAAGTAAAAAATAAGTTCCATAGCTTAAAAAATAACTGAATAAGCTCAGAAGGAAAATTCCAAAATGAAGACGTCTATAACTCCAATTTGATAAAATAATAAAACAACCAAAAGCAAACATAGCAAATATCATAAAAGTACTCACAGTAAATGTCCACATGAAGAAAGGTGCTTTAGACCAGTTAAGAACAAGAAATTTTAACATAAGTAATAGACGATAGAAAGGATTACGTCTTTGTTCTTGTGCTCGTCTAATTGGATCGGTTCCTTTTAAACTTGTTGGTAATTGGGAGAATTTTTTTTGTTGTTCGACTAATTGAATACTAGTAACAATAGATTGAATAAATGCGAGTCCAGGATTCATTGGTATTTGTTGTCCATCTGCTGTCAGTTGTAAAGTTTGATCAGCATTTGTTCTCTCAATTAAGTTATTAATTTTCATCTCACAACATTGATAAAAATGATTTTGAAGCAAAGCTTTGGGAAAATAAGTCTGACAAATGGTACATTTAATTGGTTGTGGAACACATAATTCAGTTGTTTGCTGATGTTCATTAAATTTTGAAAGAAGTACCAGTTGATCACAATCAGAACATCGTTGAGTTAAATATTGACATTGACTCTTTTCATGTAGTTCTAGTTTATCATACGAAAGAATTGCAGTACAACCAAATGAAGCATTCCTACAATGAATATTTAATCTACTTAATAATGATTGAACATATGGAGGACATCGACGTTCTTCAAATGGTTGACATCGAAATGGACATTTCTCTCTATTAACAGGGTTTTCACTCCACATACGAAGACATTTTTCACAAAATAAATGTTGACATGAAGCACATGAACGTGGTTTCCAGAGAAGATCTTGACAAATGGGACAGAAATATTCCTCAGGAACCAGTTCACTATTGACGATACGACCACGATCAATATTACCCTCATCCATTAATAAATTACTCATGTACACTCTTCACCTTATAAACAAACGAATGACGAGGAAGAAGCATTACATGTAGTTTTTATTTGATAAGAAGAAAAACAACCTGTACTTTTTTTTCTTGTCAAACGACGTTACGCTTCAAAATATTAGTCAGGCATTATTACTGGGGAAAAACCAAGTACTTCCTTTCAACGAAACTGATAAAAATAAGGATATATATGAAAATGACAAATGACTTTATGTACTATAGAAAAGAAATATGTATTACTAATATATTTTTGTAAAATCCAACTATGTACACACATATGAAAGTGATCATTTGTAGGTTTTATTTAGTAAACTTATCTGCGAATCGGTTGTTATAGTCAAAATTGGCGGGTGTGTTTGGATAGCTGAAGAACACAATAACCACATCCCACGTTCAATTTTTTTGCGGATACTATCATTAGTGGTAAGAAAATTATCAATATCTCAGATCCCCTATTACCATAATATAAGTCCGATTAGCACCAACTTGCAGTTCTGTATTAAGAAATCTTTGAATTTATAAGATATCCTCAAGAGCAATAATTATTCAACAGCATAAAACCAATGAACATATAACTCATAGCACAAATATGTTGTATTTTCTTTTTTCTTGCACATTATACATATTGTGTGAAAGTTATTTCGAATTATCCACATCCACTGTCAAAAAAAATGAAATATTGTTTTTGTTTGATTTATAATAGTCGAACTATTTTTTATTTTAATTGAAAGAAAAAAATACAAAAAAAAAAGTAAAAGGAAATTTTTATTTGATTCCAGCAAGTATCACAGAATATATTATCATGCGAGTTTGAGGAAATTTTACTGATGGTTAACTAAGTTAAAAAGATATAATTTTTATCATATCCGACGAATAACAAAATTTATTCTGCACGTGCATCAGTTATTTTTGGCAATTGTTGGTTGATATGAGGTGATGGTTGATTACCATTATTATTTGTTGGCAATTCAATAGAAGCAGATTGTTGAAGAAAATTATATCCTATAAATAAAATTTTGTACAATATATTATTATTAAAAAAGTAAAACAAAAAGTACCATTAACAATGATATCAGATAAAGCAGTTGAGTTTGGATATGGAATAGGTTCCCCATTCGAGCAGTCATATAGTTGTAATTGTACACAAAAACTATCCATGATGCCACCCGTGAAGTTAGTTTGTAATCTGATAATATCTAATGTCAAACTAAAAACAAAAATTCAAAACAAAAGAGATACATCAAAGTTTTAAATTTTTAAAGTTAGATAAGATTTTTATTTTGCTATTTAATTTAATTCTCGAACTCTATTCATTTCTGTGATATGAAATATTATATATTTCATAATCTAATGAAATTACAAGAGTAATTAAATATATAATTACGTGGAGGTATATTCATTAACATTGAATAATTTCGACTCAACAGGTTCACCTTGTTCATCTATAATTTTATATATTGGATGTATACGTGGTTCTTGTTCACTGCTAGTACAGATTACAGCTTTTAAACGTTTATTTTCCGGTAATGTACATTTATACAAGTCTGGAATCTTTGAAAAAAAACATACTAACGACATACATCGAACAACAGTTACATACTTTGCATGATACTTGTACTTGTACTTGTAACACGCATTGATTGGCATGTTGAGATGATGGAATACATGATAATGTATGGTGTATAATTTCTAGTTTATTTGGAGTGTAATCATAAGTTTCGATAGGACGAGAAGAACTGACTAGATTGACGAAAATATTATTACTAAACAGTATACTGCAATACATATTTATATTTTACCTGGTGTGAAAGCATTAGAACGAAATATACACTCTTGTTCTGGAACAAATTCTCCTTTATCTTTACTCCAATGAACCGGATAGAACGCAAGATATACAGTATGTATATTGAAACGTTTGGCGAATTCTTCATATGTTACATCTTCAAGCATTTGACTCATATTGTTTTCCATTGTACTTCCATCTGCTGTTAATCTTGCATACATTTCACGGTCAACTTTAGTCACATTACCTATATTAAAATGAATTCAAGGATAAATAAATATTACGAGATTACTAATATTTTAAAATATTTAGCGTATTTACCGTAAGGAGATTGTTGGATTTGAAATAGTTCATTAGACTTTTTATGTTTAATATGAAACATATCTTTTTCTACCTGGCAGATAGATAAATTTAATCTAATATTAAACGAGATAAAGTTTTAGGTATAATATTAGAAATTATATTTACGAAAAAAGGTCGCCAACAAAATCTGCATGATGTTTCAAATTAATAATCAGAGGATGTTGTACTTCGAATTCATTTCCAACAGTACGAACAAATGCATAAGGAGGATTATAAAACTTTCCATTTGGAGCTCGAAATTCAAGGTTACATTGAATTTTAGATTTCGTAAATCTCGACGAAGGCTAAAAAGAAACTTTTTGGAAAATAAAATATTATTAATGTATCAACTTACACCAAACCATAGAGTTGTATTACCTAGGCAATCTTTTAATTGTGTAAGTTCTGGTGTAATAATTCTGCGCCACAATTGACGTTTCGTATAGCAACGAAATATGTTCTGGATTGGATGCAGTATGAACATCAGTGGATAAAAAATATATGCGACTCCTGAAAAGAATAGAAGTAAATTTAGGAAAAGAATTATAATTTTTTTATAAGTTCAATATCTAAGATCTTATAATAAGTAGATTGAACTTATTCAAAACAAGATCATGATTATACCATTATAGAAAGGGAAAGTCGTTGTTGTATGAGATTGTTTAAGAACAACTGGCGGATTAACAGGACCATTAGAAACTTCTTCTGAGTTTTGTTCACTGTCATTTCTTTCTAAGTTAGCTGTTTGGTTGGCTATAGGATTGTAAACCTGATGCAAATTTTGAACTGGAACAGATCAAAGAAAATTTTTATAATAAAAAGTATGTAAACATTAATGATACTGACCATTTCCATTTGTTGTTGAATTCTGTTGTGAACTAGTATTTATGCCTTGTATCGGCGGTGGTAGTAATTCATGATAAGTGGCTATAATAAATAGAATAAGTTGTTTTATCGAATATTAAATATAATTAATTTCATATGCTATACATGATGAGTTTACTTTTGTTAATTTTCACAATTTCTATTTTTATAAATAAACTAGCAACGTCATCGAATCGAACTATTCAAGATAACGATCGATAAAAGTACATTTTTTTCGCTCTTTTAAAAAAATGTTTCTTATCTGAGATATACATCTTTAAAAAAATCTCAAGTATCGGACGTATCATCATGTCCATTGACGATGAAAGTAAATGTCTATGATATTTTTTAAGTTAATCTAATTATATCTAAAATCTATCGTTAAATGCTTGAGGAATAAATTGACACTTACTGACACCGGAGTTTATATTAATTTCATTATTATTATGATCAGACCTGCAAAAAGAATAAATGATATATATAAATATGTGCTTTGAAAACGAGAGAGAATAAATGCATACTTACATTACGTTTTCTTTAAATAAAAAACAACAAAATATTTTCAAGATGTGTAATGCTCCTCAGCATATATAAAGAATGTTTTTTTGATTCGACAAAACAAATATATTTTAAATTTTTTTTCTTTTTTCTTTTTGTTCTATTGTAACTATTGGCTCTCAACGGTATGTAATGTGTAAACATATAGAGCAGTGCAGAATAATAGGCCAAAAGATTATTTTACTTACACTGTACGTAACCATAAAAAAACTGTTGAGTCATCATTAACTTGCTGTCGTTTTCAGTCACTGTTTAGTGAGATGAAAACAAATACTCCGACGAAAGCACATCAATTTCGTAGCATGATTATGTATATATGAGTCATTAAGCAACAGAGTGTTTGAAGTAAAGAATGAAATACATAAACTTTTTCATTATTTATTTTACCCGTAATATTATATTGAAATTTTTGCGGCGAAAAAGCCATTAGAAATAAACAGTCGATTCAACAGCTGTTTTTGTCAAATAATACGTCGTTGTCGTCAATAATACAAATATCTAATGTTTTCGATAGATTTGAATTTTGAAGGTGTTCAATATTATCAAGTTTATAAAAACTTAATTTTAGAAATCAAGATTTTTTTTGCAAAAGAATCAGATCATTTTGATTCTATTTTTCTTAACGAATATCAGAACTTTAATTCGACACAAAGAATTAAGTTTTCTGTTGACATAATAAATATAGTCGTAGTATAATATTCAGTAGTCTAATATTCATTGCTGAGCTAGTCGATTAATACAACGATCTGGTATCAAAAAAAGAAAATATACAATACAACGTCAATTAATATCACTGAAGCTTCATAGAAAATAAATCAAAATCTACTGTAATACATCAGCCCTTTAATAACAATTGTATGTAATATCTCCTCAATACTACGCTAAAAAAACTACTAATCATACTAATCACACTATACGAAAACGCTGATAAAGACAATATTTAATTCTCTACTTACAATTATTTTTTACCATCATTTTTCTCTGCAAGATTATAAAAAGAAATTGTATGGATAATAATAAAAAACTATTTACAGTAACTTTCGAGAATATTGCTAACGTATTAATCAATCGACTGAAGTATCTCATAAGACTCAATGAATTAGAAAATAAAAATATTTACATAACATTAAACAAGAATAAAACTTCAGTGATTATTAATTATACAGTTACAACTACATAAAACAGTGAAGATTGTGTTTCCTTTTCTGTAATTTAGTAACATCATATTTTAGCAATAAAATCCTATAGTATCTACTTAATTCATAAGATAGATATGATAAAAAATAACGATTGATTAATTTATACATAAAAACAATGTTGCCGATTATCAGCGACATTTGTAAAACAATGCTTTATAGGAATAATTATTTTTCTTATATATCAACACATTACTCGTTTTTTATCGATTCTCGTGTAAGAAATCGATTTTTCGTAAATCTCAAGATTTACAATTATGTAAGCTGTCCTGTATTGAAGGTGGATGTGAGCGTGGATATATGAAAAGTACAGTTTCTTCTATGAGATCGACTTGAATCTGTACTCTATTTTTTTCTGAAAGCCTTATCACAGAAGAAAGGAATCAACTACTTTTTGCAAGTAAAACCATTTTCAATTCCTCTTCATACATTCATATTTCGATTATATTGGTATTAATTTGAGAAGTCACATCTACCTGCCTAGTTTTAAGTAGATAAAGAACATGAATGGATTTTCTGTTGGAAAAAGTTCATTAGTGGTTCACGAAAATCCAGTAGATGTTTAAACTTTTCAAATTTCGACGTAAAATATTTTTGATAAAACTTTAGAGAGAACTGAAGAAGTAAAAGAACATTTATTAGAATAATAAAGTATTCAAATTAAAGGTTTAGAACACTTGAAACGATCAGAAAGTAGTTTTTTTTGTCAAGAGATTCTATAATTATACAACAGCCATTTTACAGTTTTCTCCAAAGAACAAGAGATAAAATAGAGATGTTAGATTATTAGATAGGACTTAAATGACCTCACATAGACATGTCACTTACAGACCACTATTATTTCTTATTGAAGTAATATAAACATTTGCGTCAGTTCATATAAGGGGGTCTATGATTTTGATATACTTTTTATTTAATCATATAGAAAGCTAAGAAATTATAATTCATATAAGTTAAAAATTACATCGTAGAAAATGTACATCTTTTTATTACACTGTATTATGAATAATCTTCCTCAATATGATAACACTATAACAATATTACTATAAGCATAGTTTTCGGTATTTATATCTAAAAGAATAATTTTTGGTGAATATATCTATCATGATTTATTGTAGTCGAAATGATTCCATAATTATCATATGTCGTACTGTAGTATACATCTATAACAATCGAT